AGCTTATGTGCTTGCAGGAAGCATACCCAGCGCTGGTTAGCAGTATGACATGTGTCCATTTCAGAGGTTTGGGTCAATGTGGAAGGCCCCTGGCTTTAAAAAAAAACAGATTTGCATTCCTCCCACTCTCAGCAGGAAGCCTTAAATCAAAGGCAACCAGCAAATCAACACGTGCATATCTGATATCTTCGTCCCAGTTTGTAATGATAGGTTTATTTGTGCATGATCGATGCTGGTCTCCCTCACTAGATTGTAAACTGTAAACTCCCCGACGGCATGTGTCTTGACTGCTTTGAACCCCAGGGCCCAGGCAGTGCCAGGCACACAGGGCGCTCTCTCAATATTTGTGTAAAGAAGGCAGGCAAGGAGGGAAGGAAGAGAGGGAGGGAGGGAGGGAGCAGGAAAGAAGTGGTTAGTGAGGAAAGTTACAAGGACTCTTCATAACCGTGCTGCCCAATAGTATATAGGTTTACTTGTCACCTTTTCCCATTTATAAATTGGAGCTGATAATCTGATCTCAATTGCTATTTTGTAACTCAAATAGTTATTTAATATTTTTAAAGTTCTTGTGTGTATCTGGCAAGACAGATCCTGCCCCTGGGCCCCACGCTTTAGAGGGTCCCGCTCTTGCTGTCCTTTGGCAGTGTCCTTCCTCAGAGGATGAAGTCATAGCGGGGCTTCCCTACCTGGGAGCTCCAGTCCACGCTTAGTGTCTGCGTGCACCTCTCGCCTTGATAGTCCATCCAGGTCTCCCACCTCTAGGTCCAAGGTATGTCCAAGGCAGTGACTGTTTGCAGGATGGAGCTGAGGTGTTTACAAACATGGGCTTGAGACCCCCTTGGAGTGTGGGATGGAGCCTGGAGGTGGGGGGAAGGCAAGGGCTGGGAGTCCTGGCTCATAGCCAAGGCTCTTTCTCCCTGTGTGAGTGACCAAGGGTCCAGGGCAGAACCCCAAGGAGGGTAAGAGTTCTGGATTCTAAACTTGGCCTTCCAGGTCACTATGAAGGTCTACTTGTTTAGGTAGGAGGTTAGATATATTTTATTCAACAGTTGTTTGTTTGATTTATGGCTTTTAAATATTTACATATATGGTATGCAAGCAAATGTTAGGGACACTTGTATGTGTGTGTGTGTAATTCTAAAATTCAGCTGGTATGGCATAATGATTAAGAGTGAGAAATGTTTGTTCAAGTCCTTTGAATAGTCAGGTTAGTGTGTTTTTGCTGTTGAGTTGTAGGATTTCCTTATGCGTTTCGGATATTAATTTCTCATCAGATGTGTGGTTTTTCAAATATTTTCTCCCATCCCGTAGGTTGCCTTTTCATTCTGTCGATTGTTTCCTTTGCTGTGCAGAAGCCTTTAGTTTCATGTAGTCCCACTTGTGTTTTCTGCTTTTGTTGATTGTGCTTTTGGTGTCACATCCATGATTTCATTCATTGCCCAGACCAGAGTAAAAAAATGGGCAAATGATCTGAATAGACTTGAATTTCTCCAAAGAAGAAACACAAATGGCCAACAGATATATGAAAAGATGCTCAACGTCACTAATCATTGGGGAAATGCAAATCAAAAACCATGAGGAGATATCACTGCATACATGTTGGGATGGCTATTATAAATCAAAACCAAAGTGTTGGCAAATGCGTGGAGAAATTGGAACCCTTTGTATAGTGTTGTTAGAAACATCAAAAGGTGCAGATGCTAGGGAAAACAGAATGGAGTTTCCTCAAAAAAAAAAAGGAGCTACTATATGATCCAACAATCCCACGTCTGGGTATCTACCCAAAAGAATTGAGATCATGTTTTCGAAGAGATATAGCTGCACGCCCATGTTCACTGCAGCGTTATTCACAATAGCCAAGATGTGGAAACAACCCCCAATGTCCACAGACAGATGAATGGAGAAAGAAAATGTGATACATACGCAAAATGGAATAGTACTCAGCCTTAAAAAAGGGAATTTGTGACACCGTGGATGAACCTGGAGGACATTATCCTAAGTGAGATACGTCACAAAAGAACAAATACTGCATAAGCCCAGTTCTACGAGACTAAAAAACTCAAACTCAGAGAAGCAGAGAATAGAATGGTGGTTACAGGGATTGGGGGGATGGGGTAAAGGACAACATGGGGAGATGTTTGGTATAAAGTTTCAGTGATGCAAAATGAGTAATTTCTAGGTTTCTGCCATACCCCATATAGTTAACAGTGCTGTACCGTGGACTTAAAGATTTAGTGAACATTGAGTTCCCACCAGATACCACGCACTGTGCTAGGCACTGGCCTCTCTGAATTCTTACACCTCATTCTTGGAAACCACAGCTCAGATGTCCCGCCTCGGGGAAGCCAGGACCTCACTGTCTGTGCCTTCACGCTGCTGTGGAACTAGGTGGGGACTTAACTGGATTCGAGGGAAAGGGTGGTCTGCCGTGTTCATCTCTGGTTCGCTTTGTGCCGATGAGGAAGTGTGTAGGTGCTCCCTAATGTTACAGGAGCTGACTGAACATGTGCAAGCTTGTTTTCCAGGAGAATTTTTCTTTTCCTGGCTACTGAGTTTGCAAAAGTAAGCAAGGGATGGACAAAATAGCTTGAGGCCTCTGGAAACAAGCACAAGGTGGTCTTGTTAACCTTGGTTGTTTTTGCGTGACTTTAGCTTTTCTTATTCCATGACAACTGAAATTCTCTATTACCAGACCACACTCTGCAAGCTTCTCTCTATGGCTAATAAAAAAATAATATGGTCACATCAGGGGGACGTCCTTGGGGAATGTGTCCTGTGTCAGGAAAAGTAGTTAAGCTCCGGGATCCTAAAGGAGCCTGGGAAAGTCTAACCAAAAACTATGGGGTTGGGTGTATTATCTGTTTAAAAACAGAACTGGGCTTTGCAAGTTGGATGATGCCTTGGCTTATTAAAGCCACGAATTGAGACTTAAAACTTCTAGATCATTACTTTTATGATAGCATTCACGTGTCAGAAAATCCCCTGACCAGTCAGTGTTGGACACAGTAGAGAAGACGATAAGTGGCTGTGGGGAGAGCACCCATGTACCCCCACTGGGTTGCACATTCGCTTAGGATGGGACCCGGATCTGTCAGTCATAGCTCCCTCCACCACAGTTACCACCCTCCTCCACTACAGGGGGCCTGTGATTTTTTTTTTGGCGGCTGTCTTCAGAAAGCCCTGCTCATCTTGGGGTAGCTTGGACTCAAGTGTGCTGGTTTGTGGAGTGTGACCTGGGCTACTTGAACATCCCGGGCACCTCAGGAGTGGCGGCTTTCCACGAGCTCCTGTGGTCAGACTTGTAGCTTCTCCCTCATGTGGGCTAGCATGTGTGAATTCACTGAACATTTGCCGTTTCAATTGCTGCCTCCATGATCTAGCAGGAAGAAAGTCGTCCAGCCTGTCACTTGCCCCAAGTGTTGCTTTCACCTTCCTGGGTCTGACCAAAGGACCCCAGGGAGTCTGCAGCATCCAGCCCTCTGAAGGAATTTCTGAGTGAACCCATGTGAAATCGTATCACTGGAGGTAGGAGCAGAAGGCTGTATGGCTGTCCTGTTCCCTAGCACAAGCAACCCCGGGGGCGGGGGAGGCCTTCCTTGACCAAGGGACAACTTTACCTTCATTGTGTTATTTGAAAAAAGAACCCTCAGTGGGCCCAATCTGGAGGCTGTTAAATTCCTAGAAGCAGAGCTGAGGCCAGAAAGTAGCCTGTTGGGTTGGCAAGATGTAAATGCTGAGGCCTGTGGAGTGCTTTTCCTGCCTTGGTGGAGTGGAGTGGAGTGGAGTGAGGGTCTCCAGGCTGCGCCTCCCCTGTGGCCCTCCCCAGCCAGCAACCCGCACTCAGGGCCCTCCCTCTTGGCAGGAATCCTCTCCTTCTCAAATCTGCCGGACTTGATTCCATAAACCAGGTCCAAAAATACAAAACTTCCCTCCTGGAGCTGTAGGTGCTGGTTTTCTGGGGCGGCTCAGCAACCCCACCCCCAACAGGCATTCCCTTTGAAGAAAAACATACATCAGGCTCCTGGAAGCTGACATAAACATCCTGAGGAAATAAGCACTGCAAGTGGCTTCTAAATCGCATTTCCCTAAGGAAATAATCATCTCTTCCCCAAGACAGCTTCAGGTGAGCGAGTGAGGAAGGGAACACCTTGTTCTCAAAAGTAACGGCGTTGGTGTAACTGCCCGCTGACGACAAAGCGCGTTCTCATCTATTGTCACTTGTAATTCTCAGACCCCACGAGGTGGATGGGCAGGTGTGATTTTCCCCGGGTCGCTCAGGGCGAACTTGGGGAACCTTATGCCTTCGAGCCCGAGATCGCCCCGCGGCACCGCGCGGTCTCTCGAGTAAGCCCGTCCGTGGCGGCGGCCACTTGGCCTTATTGTCCTCGGTAGGCGTCCAGCGGCGTGGACGTTGGCCATCTCGGCGAGCCGCGCCAGGCCACCCTGCGGGACGGCCCCAGGCCGGGTGCAGCGGGTGCGGCTAGCACGGTGGTTCAAGAACAAAGGAGCAGAGTGTGCGCGGGGCCCCGAGGGGGCATCACCAGGCCCACTCAGAAGGGCACTGAGCAGAGAGGGACCGGGCGGCTCGCCCCTCACAACCTCCTTTCTTCTTGTTCGCACTGGAACCGCCCCGGGATATCCGGGAGGGGGCGCAGTTCAGGGTATCGGTCGGCCAGTCCCATCGCACCCTCCCTCCGCCACCGCCGCCGCCCCAACCGGAGAAGTGCACAAAGAGCGGCGCACAGCAAGTGCACACCTCCCGTCGGGGCGGGGCCGCAGGCGGGGCAGGTGAGCGCTGTCGCGCCCGCCTTAAAGGACCCGGCTCCTTGCGAGCACTGCGCATGCCCCGCCGTGGAGCGGGGAGGGACCGGAGACAGCGGGCGCGCACCCCGCGCCGCGGGCTGGCGCCATGGACTGCGTCCAGTGGTGGCCGCGCGGCGCTTGTGCGCGTGTCAGTGTCCGCGGCGCCTGGGCCAGCGCGCGGGGCATGTGCAGGACCCCGGTGCGGGGCATTCCAGAGGTCTCTGACTGCTGGGCTGGGCGGGCCAGGCCCACCCTGCAGCCAGATTCCGGCTTTCTAATGCACAGTTTCTGGGCCAGTTCGGCGAAGTGCCGCCCAAGTAAATGGAATTGCGGGTGCGCGCGCGAGAGCGCGCACGGCGTTGCGGGCTGGCGGATGCCTTTGTGTCTCCAGCGCTCCCGCGCAGGTGGGCAGCCCTCGCCGGGAGCCGCTTTGCCCTTACGCACCAGGACCTCGAGTCCTGCTTTACTGTCTTGAGGGCTCAAACCACCCCTTTGGGCGGACAGTAGATCCTTCTCACAGCTGCACCTTTGGTTCCAGGGGTAGTTTATTTGGGGACACTAACGGGACTTTGTGAGGACCGATCTCTTAGAGCCGGGCCCCTGCCGTCAGAGTTGGACGCGTCTTCTTTTCATGGTCAGGCGAGGGAGGAGACCTGGGGACAGGGACTGTCCTTAGCTGATAGGTAACATGTAAGTGTCCCGAGCCTGCCGGTCCCGCATTAGACAACAAAGAGAGGCGTTAGCAAGCGGCGGGGGCGGGGCGCGGCCGGGAGGAGGGCCGGTGGACTGCGGCGAGCCGAGCCGGGGTTGGGGGCGCTCGCGCTCCGCTCCCTCATCCCGCGGCCTCCGCCCGCCCCCGGCCCGGCGCGCGCCAATCGCCTCCCCCAGCGATAGTGTCAGTAGCATTGTAGTGTCAGCTCCCGCCGGTGACGTTGCGCCTCCCTCGTCCCCCTCCGGAGCCGTCTGGCTGCAGAGGCTCAGTCTTGAGGCGGGGAGCAGAGGAGGAGAAAAAGCGCTGAGTGAGGGCGGGCGGGAGGGAGGGAGGGAGTGGAGGAGCCGGGGAGGGGCTCCTTAAAGAAACGCTGCTGTCGCTCGCCTGCTCGTTTCTCGCTCGGCATTGTGGCCAGCCAGCTGGGCACTCGGGGGGCACTCACGGCTGCCGCTCAAGCTCTGCCCCCAACCCACCCGCCAGCAGACCTGGAGTGGGGAATCCAGCCGGGGCTTCGCGCAACCACTGCCCGGCGCGGATCGCGCAGAGCGACCCACTCCTCCCGGCACGGAGAAAGGAGCCACGGAGCCCTCTGCAGCCGGCCGGCCTCCCCGCCCCTGACCGCTCGCTTCCCGGCTGCCTTTGTGGCCGCAGCTTCTCGCCGCCGAGCCGAGGGCCGGCGGGGGCGCGACGCGCACGGCTGAGCGATGCCCAGCTCGCTGTTTGCAGAGCTGGAGCGCAACGGCAGCGGCGGGGGAGGCGGCGGCGGCGGCGGCGAGACCCTGGATGACCAAAGAGCCCTGCAGCTCGCGTTGGACCAGCTCTCCCTCCTGGGGCTGGACAGTGACGAGGGCGCCTCTCTGTACGACAGCGAGCCGCGCAAGAAGAGCGTGAACATGACCGAGTGCGTGCCGGTACCCAGTTCCGAGCATGTCGCGGAGATCGTGGGGCGGCAAGGTGGGTCCGGCAAGGATGGGGAACCGGAGCGGAGAGGGTCTCTGGCCGCCGCCCCTCGGGGAAGGCGCCGGCGGGATCGGCATCCGCGGCGCGGGGAGCCTCGGGGAGGAAGAGCCGCGCGATGGGCCAGCGCCCCAGACAAAGAAAGTGCAGGCAGGCTGCCTCCCAGCCCTGCGCCGCGACCGCGGCGGGATGCACTTCTCCTGCCAAAACCACTGTCTTCTCCCCTGGCGCCCCCCACCCAGCCCACCCCGGGAAATAGAATTTAAATGGAAGATGCTTGGGGTGTGTGTGTGTGGGGGGGGCTTTGATCCTTCCTTTGGGAGGGGGGAGGAGGAGTGAGCCTCGGATGGGAGGAGGATTCTGGATTTCTGCACAGCGTAATGGAGCCCAGTGGAGGAACAATGGGTCCCGGGACTGCCCCTCTTCCCAGCTGGGGAAACTGAGGCTCCGGCCGCCTTCCACGAGCCCCTCTGCCCGGTACTTAGGGCGGACGGACGGCGCCCCGCTACATCCCAGCGGCGTCGCCCCAGCTGACTTTTTCTGGGATTCTGGGGTTTGGCTCCGGACGACTGCAGTCATGGGGGGAGGGCAGGGCGGCCAGCGGGCTGTTCCTCGAGCGCCTCGCGGGTGGAACCCGCTTCCCGGCCCTCGCGCGGCGGGGTCAGGGCGGGAGCCGCCCCCTTTCTACCCCTCGCATGTCCTGCCGTTACGCCGCCCCGTTCGCGGGGCTGGCCCAGGTCTCCGCGGTTACCCCGGGGTAATGGGCGTGTCTGTCTCTCTCTCCCACTCCCTGCCCTGCACTCTGGCTCCCAGGTTGTAAAATCAAAGCTCTGAGGGCGAAGACCAACACTTACATCAAGACCCCAGTCCGCGGGGAGGAGCCTGTCTTTGTTGTGACGGGCAGGAAGGAGGATGTGGCCATGGCTCGGAGGGAGATCATCTCCGCCGCCGAGCACTTCTCCATGATCCGCGCCTCGCGGAATAAGAACACGGCGCTCAACGGCACGGTGCCCGGGCCGCCCAACCTCCCGGGGCAGACCACCATCCAGGTGCGGGTCCCTTACCGCGTGGTGGGGCTCGTGGTCGGGCCCAAGGGCGCCACGATCAAGCGCATCCAGCAGCAGACGCACACGTACATCGTGACGCCCAGCCGCGACAAGGAGCCCGTGTTCGAGGTGACGGGCATGCCGGAGAACGTGGACCGCGCCCGCGAGGAGATCGAGGCGCACATCGCCCTGCGCACCGGCGGCATCATCGAGCTCACAGACGAGAACGACTTCCACGCCAACGGCACGGATGTGGGCTTCGATCTGCACCACGGGTCCGGCGGGTCCGGCCCCGGCAGCCTGTGGAGCAAGCCCACGCCCAGCATCACGCCCACGCCGGGCCGCAAGCCCTTCTCCAGCTACCGCAACGACAGCTCCAGCTCGCTCGGCAGCGCCTCCACAGACTCTTACTTCGGCGGGGGGGCCAGCGGCAGCGCAGCCGCCACCCCGCGCCTGGCGGACTACAGCCCCCCCAGCCCGGCGCTCAGCTTCGCCCACAACGGTAACAGCAGCAGCAGCAGCAACGGCAACGGGTACGCGTACGCAGCCGGGGAGGCTCCCGTGCCCGCGCCCGACGGCTGTCCAGAGCTCCAGCCCACCTTCGACCCGGCTCCCGCCCCGCCGCCTGGGGCGCCCCTTCTCTGGGCCCAGTTCGAGCGGTCCCCGGGAGGTGGACCTGCAGCTCCCGTGTCCTCGTCCGGCTCCTCCTCCGCGTCTTCGTCCGCGTCCTCCTCCTCCGTGGTCTTCCCCGGGGGCGGCGCCAGCGCGCCCCCCAACGCCAACCTGGGGCTGCTGGTGCACCGCCGGCTGCACCCGGGCGCCGGCTGCCCGCGCCTGTCGCCGCCCTTGCACATGGCCCCGGGGGCGGGCGAGCACCACCTGGCTCGCCGCGTGCGCAGCGACCCGGGCGGAGGGGGCCTGGCCTACGCGGCCTATGCCAACGGGCTGGGGGCGCAGCTGCCGGGCCTGCAGCCGTCGGACACGTCGGGCTCCTCGTCGTCGTCCAGCTCCTCGTCCAGCTCGTCGTCGTCGTCCTCCGGCTTGCGGCGGAAGGGCAGCCGCGACTGCTCCGTGTGCTTCGAGAGCGAGGTGATCGCCGCGCTGGTGCCCTGCGGCCACAACCTCTTCTGCATGGAGTGCGCCAACCGCATCTGTGAGAAGAGCGAGCCCGAGTGCCCGGTCTGCCACACCGCGGTCACTCAGGCCATCCGCATCTTCTCCTGAGCGCGGCGCGCGCGCCTGCGCACTCCGCCGCGCGGGGACTGGGGACCCTCAGCTCCCTCCGCTGCCACGGCACCCTCCGCACCCACGGCGTCCACCAGCCACCTCGGTGCCCCTCAGTCTCCTCCCCACCCTGCTCACACTCTTCAGATCCCAGGGGAGCTTGGAAAGCTGTAGTATCCGCTCGTTTTTAAAATTTGATTTTTAAACAAAGGAACTTGCCAGGATATCTGCATCAAGAGTACTGTGGCCTGGGAAACCTCTGAACCACCTGACGTGCATGCTCTATAAATAATAGGAACGGCGATCTTCTAGTAATGATAGTTTTTACACTGTACTTAATAGGAAGCTTCCAGAAGAAGAAAACCCCACAAGTTGTCCGTTTTCTCAAAGTAGGGAAAAAAAATGAACAGTAATTATTATGAAGATGATAATAGCGCTATGGGATGTGTGGACTGTTCTAGTGTGTTCCCCTTTGTGGCTGGGTTCCTACGATGCTTGTTCTAGAACACAGTGGATCCTTTCTGAATGTTCGTGGATGGGCCAGGAGTTCCTGTGAAACCAGGATACTGCAGCTTTATTAAAGTTAAAGAAACTGTAACATATCTCTTATATATTAAAAACGTTTAAAAGTTTTAAAGAGAAATTGCATTAATACAGATTGAAGTATTTTATTCTTTTTTGACTTGAAAAATTATATTTCATATTGCAAAGATGTTTACAAGTATTTTAATTTAAGTTCAGTGAACTTTTTTGTAGCTGGGTTAAATCTTTTTATTTTAGTATGGCCTTATGGCAAAGAACACTGTATTATTTTAATAATCACACAATTGTGACGGAATTACAAAAACCATAAAATGTGTAATGTTTTCAACAGTATTCTGTTGGGATGGAGATTTTATAGGTTCAGATCAATCTAGATTTGCTTCACCCAGCATATTTTCTATTCAGTGATATAAAGCATATTTTATTCTATATTATTACAAAACGGAAATGTATAAACATGTCAAAAGGAACTGTTGATGCTTTCTAACATTTGTATAAATAGAATTCAGTGCAAGTTACAAAAATTCTGTTGCACCACTATAGTTTTAGTATTTCTATTTTAATACATTTGTTTACCACTTGTTTATGTATATGTAGGTGACGTTACTTGAGCTTAAATGTACTTTACTGAGCAAAGTTTAAAAAAAACAAAGTATATTTTATTTTATGATAAAGGGCCTTTAACCTCATGGTCAAATACTAATATTATATTTGCTGAGACAAGATTTGAAATTGTATCAAGAGTTTTATTTTTCTGACATTTAAAGTTCTACATAATAAAGGTAAAACTTAAGTAATGGTGCTACTTCATTTTTTAAGTATTTCTATATAAATAAAATATTGAAGAAAAATCTATCTTGTGTGGTGACTTGGTATTTTGTTTTTGTTTTTTGTTTTTTTAAGCCTCTGTGTACCTGAGTAAGGAATCACCCTTAAGTGACAAGTTGAAATATTTAACATCCAGGCATATTATGTCAGCAGTTTTATCAATAGAATGGACTTTTTAAAGGAGGCCAGAGTTGTCTTTGGTTGGATATATAGGCCATGGGTAACAGTACTTTTTAAAAATTGCAAGTTTCTACTGCATTGGGCCTCACTTCTCCATAAGATGTGGCAAGCATCATGCCTGGGCCCCAGGAAAATGTTTAATTTCTTTTAAAACTAAAAGATAAAAACCCAAAGGAAATTAAAACATTCAAAGGAAATGTGTTAATTTTCAGGCCCACATAAACCTATTAAAACTTGCCTAAAACATTAAGAGAATAAACTATTAACGTACTTAAAGTAATATCAAAAATAAACTTTCATATTAACATCATGATGGAGGTAGCCGCCCAGGAAAGCGAAAAGTGCCTAGGGCCCAGCAAAGTCCTAATCCTGCCCAGTGTGGGTCTCTAAGCGTCCTAGAGGGCCTGAGGGCTGGCTGTGTTGTGAGTTTCCATGAAGGGCCACTTCCTTGGGGAAGGCTGGAGGTGACAGTTTCTGCTTGCCAGGATGGAGCTGGATTTGAGCTCGGAATAGGCTTCTGCTGGTAGGGCTTGCTAATTGGTGTTGACAGGCTGCTGGTGTTAACTGTTTGTTGTGGTTTGAGAGTTTTTGTTTGCTTTGGGCTACACCTGCTCCCCGGCTGGCTGCGGGGCTTTCTCAGGGGGTGGAGCCACAGGCTTTCACTTGACCTGAACTCTGCCTCCAGGAGAGGACCCAGGCGTGAGCCCAACGGAATACTCCGCAAACCTCCTGGCTGCGTCTCCCCTGGAGGAAGGTGCCAGTCCAGAACGTGGCAGGCTTTTATTCTAATTTCTGCTAAACGTAGGCAAGTCCAAAGAGTAGACCATACTATATATTGGTGGTTCCTCTTTCCCGCTTGGTATTTTTCTTGGTGTCGAGATTACGTCGCTGCCTGCATCCTTGCCCCTGATGGGTTTGGTTTACGTGATGCTGTGCTAAGGCAGGAGACAGGCGTTTGGGGCATGGGGAGGAGAAGGAATGGTCCTGCTTGGGAAATTTCTGGTATCGTCTTCAACTCTGGAAAGTTCCCAGACAGTGTTTTCCCCACTTTTCTTCTCCCTCAAGGACTGGAGGTGAGCTGAGGCCTGGCAAGGAGCAACGCTACAGCCCACTTACCCCTTTCCTCGTAGCTGTTTGGAAATGCCTACAACGGGACCAAGATGCTTTTTACACTTCCGTCGTGATGTAACTTGGCTTTTCTGCATTCGCAGGACGATGACCTAGAAGGGAAGGAAACACCCAAAGCCTTGATTGGTTGTGTTTCACATGGGCTTTTACAGGTGAAGATTTTCCGTGGTCTGTATGCGGCTTTGGAAAATGAAAAAAGATGAGATTTTGAGGCTGCTGGTATGCCCTTGGATGGCCTATATTTTTGCTTTGTTGAGAGAGAGGTTCCCTTTGTTGACATGAAGTTGTGGGATATATTATTAATAAAACTAGGTTTCTTAGGAGAGAGAGCTTTCTGTCATCCGTGTCCCCTGCAGGGAGGCCCTTGTCACCAGCAGAGGATGTGGACACATGCAAGTGGCATTAGATGGCATTAGCTTTTGATCCAAGGCAAGCCTTTCATCCCATCCCCCAGAACCCCCGAATAACAACGGTGGAGGTGACAGTCCCCCAGCTGGAGAGATGAGAGGTGCCACATTTCGGCCCTTTCTGCTTTTCCACCCCTCTGAAATCTTTCTGCAGCTACAAAATACCAGCTAACAGACATCTCTCCCCCTAATTACTGTTTCATGTTTTCTTTCACGTACACTACTGGTCCTCAGCTGGAGGTGATTTTGCCAATTGCCTTCCCCCTGGATTTGGCAATCTCTGGAGACAGTTTTGGGGTGTCACAACTTGGGGTCCTGCTACCGGCATCTCGTGGGTGGTGTCCAGGGGTGCCGCTCAACATCCTCCGGGAACAAGCAGGAATCCCCCAGCCCAGGACTGGGAGACCCTGACAAAGCAGACGGATCTTCCCTGCTCTTGACTCACTTGGCCTTGAAGTTGGTGATACGGTTACAACTCTGAAATGCACGAAAATTGGCCCTCAGTGGTGTTCTGGGGTTACCCACCACCCAGGGGGAGTTCTGGCGACATCAGGAAGGATGTGGGGTTGGGGGCGGGGTGGGGGGGAGGCAGAAGCTGATGTCTAAGCAAAAGAGGTTGAAAGTGAGGACTTTTTTTTATTCACCAAAGAGTGGTAGATTGTACCCAGTTAACAGTCTTTCTCACGTGGGACGTTCAAAGCCCATGCTTTCCTATTCTCTCCTGCGATCCTTTCCACAGCCGTGAAGGAGGCACCACTGAGATTTTCCTGTGCCTATGAGTAGTTCAATGCAAAGACTCAAAATGCAGTCCCCTCCCTCCAAACTCAAACCCGGGGTTCCTGACTCCAGCCTGTGCTCTTTCTGCCTCGTCAGGCTGCCTGTAACCATGAGACACATTCATGGAGAAACTCTGGAAATGGACCTGTGCCAGCCGCATGTCCCCTGCCCCTATTTCATGGGTCCCCTTTATCCTACCACAGTTGGCTCTTGGGAAAAGCTTTGCTATATGTTCAGTGAATTTCAGGCATTAAAGTGATCTGGAGGCTGTATCTCTTCAGCCTCATCTTTCCAAGAAAGAGGAGCAAACTCACCACTCTGATGGGGGTTTGCTGCTGGTCAGCGCAGTGCTGGTAGTGGGTGCCCTTCACGCTGGATGAGGGCAAGGTGACCCCGGGAGAGATGGCATTTGCATGGGCTACACTCACTCTTTTTTTTTTTTAAGACTTTTATTGGGGGAATTGGGGGGATGGGAACAGCGCTGGGGAATTGGGGGAAGGGGAACAGACAAGTTGCTGTCATTTTGTTCTTCAGTCTAGTCGTGGAGGATGTTGCTTCACTGGCCCAAGTTGGCACCATCATTGCGCTCTTCCCGGGCGAAGCAGATCAGTCGCCGGCTTCTGGACGGCCGCTCACTGTGGCTGCTGGCCGCTCACGCTGGCTGCCGGCCACACACGGTAGCCCATGGCAACCCACTGCCACAGGGGCTGCAGCCTACGCCATCGCCGGCGACTCACGGCAGCCCAGCTCCAGGTTGAGCTGTTGTTCAGCATCTTAGCTGTGGAGGGCAGTGTCACTGGCCCTCATATGTGGGATCCGAACCGGGGCCCTCTGGTGTCCCAAGCCAGTGCTTAACCATCGTGCCACTCGGCCCGGGCCATACACTCACTCTTTCTCATCTCGGTAAGAACCTTCCCTCCCCGGCTAGGGAACAGGTCCTTCTATGCTGAATCCTGCCTACCTTTGCCTTCTTGCTTCCCTCCCCTGCCCCACCAATGATGCTCACCGCCCCCCCCTCCACCCCCCCTACCGCCCACTGTTAAACCTGCTTTCCAGGGAGGGGAAAGTGGGGAGCGAGGCACCCCTAACATTGGCCCAGTGACTGTCATGGTGATTGCTCTGGTTTAGCGAGCCCTCACTCTGAACTGTGCTAAGGGCTTTCCATTATCCCAGTCCAATGGGGTTAGGGAGGAGTAACACCCATTTCAAAGATAAGGAAACCGGGTTGGAGAGAAGCTAAATGACTTACTGAAGCCCCTCACAGCACTGGACCTAGGCTTCTAGCTTGAGTCTGTCTACATCCAGGGGTCGCAGCTTCACCGAGTCAGAGCAGTGGCTTTCATAGGAGGTATTTTCAGAAAAAGGGAGCATTGCTTCATCACCACGTAGTCAACCGTGGCAGTGATGGTCCTTTTTTTTTTTTTTCTTTTTCATGCGGGAGTGGAACCAGCAGCCTTGTTGTTAAGCACGCACGCTCAATCCACTGAGCCATCCGGTGGCAGCTCAGCTCAAGGTGCCGAGTTCCGTCTTAGTTGCAGGTGGGCGTAGCCACCATTGAACAGGCAATCTTGTTGTTACACCAGCTGAGCCATCCTGCCACCTGTTGGCAGCTCAGCTCGGGCGCAGCTTGGGCACAGCTCACTGGCCCATGTGGGAATCGAACCAGCAACCCTGTTGCTCAGAGCTCGTGCTCTTAAGCCAACTCTTAACCAACTGAGCCACTCTATCGGCCCTAGTGATGGTCCTTTCTTAATGATAAGTAATTGATTTAAAAAATGGAG